GCAGGAACAGCGCACCAATAGAGAACTACCAGAAGTGCAGGCTGGGTTTAAAATAGGCCATGGCACAAGGGATATTAAAGCTAATGTCTTGGATGAAAGCACAGAGTACCAGAGGAATGTCTTACCTGTGTTTCATTGACTATGCAAAGGCATTTAACTGCGTGGATCACGACAAACCATGACTGACTCTGAGAAGAATGGGAATCCCAGAACACTTGATTGTGCTTATGTTGAAGCCTATACTTGGAGCAGGAGGCAGTTGTCAGAACAAAGCAAGGAGACACTGCATGGTTCAAAATTAGAACGGGTCTATGTCAGGGATGTATTCTGTCTCCATACCTTTTCAACCTATATGCAGAACAGATCATCCTGGAGGCTGGGCTGTATGAGGAGGAATGTGCTATCAGGATTGGAGGAAGATTCATCAACAACCTGCGTTATGCAGATGACACAACCCTGCTTACTGAAACTGAGAAGGATTTGAAGTGCTTGCTGCAGAAGGTAAAAAACTGCAGCCTTCAATATGGACTGAAGCTCAATATCAAGAAAACAAAGATTCTCACCACTTGGCTGATTGGCAGCATCATGATAGATGGTGAAGAGATTGAGACTGTTAACAGCTTTAGTTTCCTTGGCTCCACAATCAACACTCATGGTACCAGCAACCAGGAAATAAAAATATGAATTGCACTGGGAATGTCTGCTGTCTGAGACCTCTCCAAAGTACTGAAGAGAAACGATGTTAGTCCAGAGACTGAGGTCCGCCTGATCTAGGCCATGATCTTTGCAATTACTTGCTATGCACTGGAAATCTGGAACAATGACTAGGGATGATAGAAGAATTGATGCCTTTGAGCTATGGTGCTGAAGAGTGTTGACTATATCATGGACTGCTAGAAGAACACACACATTCGTTCTAGAGAAGGTGAGACCAGGCTGCTCCTTAGAGGCAAAGATTCTGAAGGTTTGTCTGACATACTTTGGATATGCTGCAAGGCGGGACCAGTTCTTGGAAACAGACATCATGCTTGGGAGGGTTGAGGGATAGCACAGGAGAGGAAGACCCTCGATAAGATTAATTCAGTGACAGGGTAATGGGGGGTAGGTTTGTTGGAGACAATAAGATTGGCACAGGACAAAAGCAGCTTTTAGGGCTGTTGTACACAGGGTCACTATAAGTTGCAGGGGACTCGACGGCACATAACAACATCAACAACAAACATAATGCATTTGGAAAACTTGCTGTCAATGGGCAAGTATGTCAGTTGAAACACCAAGGATCACCTGATCCAAGTCATGTCTTTTGAACTGTTTGTTATTCATCTGAAGGGAGCTGTAGGAAGCGCTCATGGCCTCGTGGCAAGAAGCTGCGCTGCAATCCTGAAACACGTGGTTTGAGGCCACCAGCTGCTCTGCAGAAGGATGGAAATCCTTGGCGTGATTAACTGCCTTTGATCAGCTACGTGTCAGTTCTGATTCTATGGTACCCAACAACTGGCATCTCAAAGCAGGACAATGAGTAAAGATGACAGAAAAGAGAACTGATGCCTTTGAGTTGTGTGTTGGAGAGGAGTTCTGAACATCTCACGGACTGCCAAAAGGAAAAAAACAACAATCTGCCTTGGAGGAAGGGCAACCAGGGTGAAACGTCATCTCATGTACTTCTGGCACCTCAGAAGGGGTCAGTCTTTGTAAAAAAACTAACATGCTGAAAAAGGTGAAGGGTCAAAGAGAAGATGACCTGTAATGAGATGAACTGACATGGCGACCAAAACAATGGGCTTAAGCATGATGGAGTTTGTACGGCAGGAACACGCTAGCTCAAGGTTCAGATCTGTTAGTCACAGGGTCACTATAGGTAATGGTAGACTTGACAGCACTTAACAACCACCAAAAAGCCCAAAGTCTTAACATGGTCTACCTAACCCAGTGCTTTCTGGCCCGCATCACTGATCTGTGATGCTCTGCAGCCCTCCTGCAAATTCTACTCCAGCCACTCCAGTCTCCAGATCTTTGCACTTAACTGTTACCACATTCTTGTCCCAGGATCCTTCCTCCAGGTCCTCTGCTCTAATCCAGTCACATCACTTGAAATGCACAACTCACATCCACTCTTCCTCTATGTTGTATTTCTCTGCTGTGTCTGGTGGTGCAGTCCATGGGAAGATGTGCTGTTAACCCAAAGGCAGGGTCTCTCAGGCAGTTCAAATGCACCTCAGACTAAGGGAGAAAGCTAGGCAATCTCCTCCCAGGGGATTTATAGCCTCCCCCACACCTGCTGGAGGGACAGCTATGGGTTGATTCTGACTCCACAGCAATGAGGGAGTGACTTTGTATCTCGTATTTTCATTTAAATCATACAACGAATGTGAAATGAATTCTAACTGTGTGCCAGCCAGCATCCTGGGTGCTGATAATGCAATTGAAATGGAAACAGGCTCTATCTTTTGGACCTTGCACTGCAGGGCAATGTCAATCAGTGAATTACATATTCTTAAAAAACAACACCAGTGTCAACCAGCAACCCTACAGGACTGAGTAGAATTGTCCTAGGGAACCCAAGTTTGCAAATTTTTACAGAGGCTGAATACCACATCTCCCACAAAACAGCTGGAAGCTCCAACTTTTCGCTAGGAGTTAGAGCTTTAACTACTATTCTACCAGGGCCCCAACAGAGTGAACCGTGACAAATGCTATGGGAGCTAAAAATGGGGGAAGAACAAACAGGAGCTTTTTGTTTATACTCCTCTGAGATTTTTCTTTTTTTGTCCATTTTGTTCCTATTGAAGTAATATGGCTGTGACTACAATAGGTCCGAGTACACAGTAGGTACTCAATTGATATTTCTTAAATAGGAGGCAGTTGCTTAGTTCTTGACTCTTTTAAAGAAACTTTAAAAGAAACATGCTAATTAAGATGATACTTTTGGAGCATGTGAAGTTCCTAAGTTTAAAATTGTTTGCACTGTCTGTTCATTTACTCAGAAAGTGGCTTATCAAGTCTGTAGGGAGTGCTTTTCACAATAATATCAGTCTAGAGACTAAGGAGCGCCTGATCCCGACCACTGTCTTCTGTTTCTTGCTATGCATCTGAGAGATGGACAATGACTAAGGACGACAGAAGAACTGATGCGTTTGAGTTGTGGTGCTGGAGAAGAGTACTGAACATCCCATGGGCTGTCAAGATAACAAACAGGTCTGCCCTAGAGAGAGTGAAATCCGGCTGCTCCTTGGAGGCTAGGATTATGAAGTTCCATCTGACATACTTTGGGCATGCTGCCAGGTGGGATTAGTCCTTGGAAAAGGACATCATGATTGGAAGGGTGGAGGATCGATCAGTGCAAGAGAGGAAGACCCTGGATGAGATGGACTGACACAGTGACTGTGGCAATGGGGTCAGGTGTGTCAGAGACCGTGAGGTTGGCTCAGAATAGGGCAGGGTTCAGAGTCGTTGTTCACAGAGCCCATATGAGTGGATTTGATCACACAGAACAAGTCAACCAAAATCGCTGTCAGAGGCAGGGAGGCCACAGCGGTCCACGTGAACCTGGGGCGGCGGGGCGCACGCAGGCTGCTGGGGGAAGGCAATCACTAACCTCTCCGCCGGAAGAGAAGAGGACCGCGCTAAGGGCGCAAGATTCCGAGGCCAAACTGCAGGGAAAAGACGAAATAATCTCTGCAAGCTGTCCCTTCCCTCCGCCAGCCCACTCTGGTACAGGCACTCCTCCCCGCGCCCAGCTGCGCAGGCGCACAGGCATCCGGGCCCGGCGGCGCGAGGGCCGCCCCGCCCACGTGACCGGCGCACCACGTGACCCGGCGCCGCGCCGCGACCTTTTCCACTCGGGAGTCTCCGGGCCCCGCGGCCCCAGCTGGTTTCCGCCTTCCTCCCGTTTCCTCATCCGCTGGTCACCTTGCGTTCCGCTGACCCCGCCTACTTCCCCGGAAGATGCCCCTTGGTCTCTGTCGGGTCATCAAATAAAGTTTCCCCATTCAAAAGCCTTTTTTTTCCCCGCACACCACGCCCCTTCCCAGCCCCTCCCCCGCGCCGGCCCCGATGCGCTTCCTGCGGCCGGTGTGACCAGAGCATTGAGGCCGGGATCGCGGAAGGTGATGGCGGTGTCTCCGGAGTCTCTGTCGGGACAGGACGTAGGGTTCGTCTCTCTTTCCTTGCCCAGCTCCTCCGCTCGTTCTGCTTGTTCCTGCACTTTGCGGAAAGGCAGGCCTCGCCGGGAACCTGCGCGCCCCGAGCGGAGCTGCGAGCTCCCCGGGGCGCCTTCGCGGCTCTCGGACACTTGCGGGGAGGCGCGAGCCGGGCGGCCGCTGCGTGGTGACCGCTGCGGTCAAGGCTCTGCTCACCCGCGGGCGCTCTCCGGCGGCGCTACTTGACCCCCTCCGTGTGGCAGCCCTGACCACCCCAGAACGGCGTGGGAGCCCATTGAGGGGTCAAGTTAGCCCCCATCCCCACTTCTCTGTATTTTAAAAAATTCCTCCATGCCTTTGAGGTTATCCCCAGCTCCCTTTCTGGGTTTTACAGAGCTGGTTTTTCTCATTTATCTTAATGAATGCATTTATCAGGTGCTAAAACTCTTGATATAAAAGTTCAGAATCTTAGCTATTGAGGGATAGGTTTTTATTTCCTGTTGCAGCTCGGATTGATTTATTGCCTTAAGTGCTACAATGAAAAATGTCTGAGATGCTAAGTTGCAGACGACCCTTAAAAATCATTTAATAATCATTGCTATAACTTGAATGGCCAGATTTATATTTGTGATAAGACTTTTACTCCAGAAGTATTGAGAAAGACAACTCTGACATTATTTTACCTGAGTGGAGAGTGGATGAAAGTGTAGAGGGAGAAATGCACCGGTGGGATTCAGGGTCCTGCACTGATGAGTGAATGTCGCCTTTTATACTGGACTTTCTGTTGCCACTTGCCTCATCCTGTCCAGGTCTGGACATTACTTGTGGGATGTAGGTCTCTATCTGATTAAATGTAATAGTTTCAAAAAATAGTAATACTTTTTGATGAAAAAGTACAATCTTAAAAAACTGCCACCACTTTGACTACTGTCTTGAAAAATCTAAGTTCCTTCAAAGATTCTGTCTGCCATTCCATCTACAAGTGAATTAGTGATTCTTAGAAATAAAATTTTGGCTGATTTTTAGGATATTCAACGTCCCTTGGTGTCAGAACGTTTGCTTTTGCTGTTGTGTAGAAAACGTTTGAGGACATTCTCAGAGAACATTCAGCTCCGTATTTTTTAAAATTGGCGCAAGATAGTGGGTTATTAGAAGTTGGATGACCCCAGGTCCCAAGGGGAGTGGGTGATTTGGACTTAGGACTTTTAAAAAAATGCTTTTAACTTTCTTGTTTTTACTTTGGTGATCTAACTGTATAAATGGAGCAGGTTTATGTGTAACTTAACAGTATGTATAACATGGAGCAGTTTATTTTTTTCTTGACTATGTCTGAAAACTTTTCCAGAATTTTATCACTCAGTAGAGCTGATATTCCTCAAACTGAATCCTTAAATATTTAATAAATATTATAATGACATTTTTATTATTATGTAAACATGATAATGCTAATACCTAATAACTTTATAAAATGATAACCTATAAATACAGAGTTTGATAGATCTAGAATATCTTCCTTTGTTATGCTTCTGTGCTCAGGTCCCTAAACAACGTGCCACCAGAAACTCCATGAACTTTAATAAATGCGGATAGTTATTGAAAGGCTTCAGGCATTTTGTTCATAGGGTTACTGTAAGTCGTGCTCGACTCAAAGGCAATCAGCAACATGCTCAGGTTTGTCTTCACCTCCAGCTTGCTTCATTTTACGGAAAACACACACTTTTTGATTGGAAGAGGGAGCTGGTGGCATTCATTTATTTCATTTGGGGCAGAATAGAAGGCTGGTTGGTAGGGTAGCAGGAAAAACCTTTGAAAAGATGACTGAGCATATAGACAGCAGAGCGAGGCAAGTTCATACATGTCATTCTAGTTGTTTGAAAGACGTCTTCATTTAAATGAGGTATTCCAGAGACGAAAAGCCAGCCAACCGTCCAGTAATAGTGCTGCTTGGTGTTAATACAGTGTATGTGGCTTCTTCTTCCAGATCATTTGCATATATTACAATTAAAGACAGAATACCACAGATTTTGACGAAGGTTATTGATACTTTGCATCGACATAAAAATGAATTTTTTGAGAAACATGGAGAGGTAAGAATTTATGTGTGTGGGGTGTGTGCGTGTGTACTTAGTGTGGTAAAATGTGTGTTTGTTGTTGTGTACCACTGACTTGTAGCTGACGTTCCAGAGTTTCCAGTCAGTCAGTCACAAAGAAGGAGGTTGCCTCTCTTTCTCCGGCAGAACAGCCGGTGACTTTGAACCGAATACTTCTGTATTGGTAATGCACTTACTTACTACTGCTACGCCATTGGAGCTTGTGGTAAAATACATAGAAAATGAAATGTATCCTTTTAACTGTCTTGTAGGTGCAAAATTTGGTGGTTGGGTCGCTGAGTGGTGCAGTTAATTAAGCCCTTGTGTTAAGTTTGGCATTTTGATGCCACCCAGAGGTACCTCCGAAGAAAGTCCTCCTCTGCTTCTGAGAGGTCACAGCCTTCAAAGCCCGTGGCATGCAGTGTGGCTCTCTGCACATGTGGCTTGTGTCCATTTTAGTTCTGTCCACGTCACTTCGCCACGGGATAGAAATGACTTGACAGAACCTGGTAATTGCTTTCACCATATTGTGCAACTATACCCAGTATTTCCTGATGTTTTCATCACCCCACTTGACAGCTCTGTACTCTAAATATTAAGCAATAAGTCTTCTCTCCCTTCCCTCTGCTCCTGGTAACTACTCATAAGGTGTTCTTTTCTCTGTGCATTGACCTGTTTTAAGTTCTTTCATCTAAGCATAATAATACAATAATTTCCCTTTTTTGTATCTGGCATGTTTCTTAGCATAATGTTTTCAACTATTCATATATTGAGAAAGTGATAGGTCTGAGCCAACCCCCCTGGCACCAAGTCGTTTGGCACTCACAGTAGCCCTGCAGGGCAGAGTCGGCCTGCCCAAGGGGCTTCCAAGGCTGTGAATCTTCACCTGTGCCTCCTTCTTCCTTGGCTGAGCAAACAGTGTGTTTGAACTGCCTACTTTCTGTTTAGCAGCTGAGGTCTTTAACCACTGTGCCACCAGGGCTTGTTCTTTATAATAAGCCTGAAAGCAGGGACTAAATTCTGATAACATCAACATCATGGTAGTTACTCTCTAGATTGTTCAGCTGGGCTTAAAACTTTTTATTTCATGTCTGACTTAAAAGACAGGGCAAGAATCTTGCTGGTATAAAAATGGTATCATTAACTCTTCAATCCAATCCATACCATTTGTCTCCTCTCTAGCTCACCTCTTATGTGAGATAACACCATATAACACCTTGCCTTTCAGGTTAGCCTTGGTGGAGAACAACAAACCAAAAGCTCTGAGGTGCCAGAGAAACCCCAGGGAGGCTAGTGCAGCTTTTCTGTGAAAAAGATTTGAAAGCAAGAAAGAAATGAAAAATCTAGTGTTTGCTTTCTTTTCCATTTATGATGATGCCACCCCACCCGAAGAAAGAAAACCCAGGACTCCTCTTAATAAGATGAGAAAAAATTAAAAATGCAAGCTATTTAACAAGGCTAGACTAGTGATTATAGGAGAGCTCTGTGTGTTCTTTGAGTTTCAACTTAAGAACTCTAAATGTAAATGTTTATAATAGTAAGTGATAAAAAAATTACGGTTTTGATATGTGAGATGTAAAAAAAAACCCCAATGTAGGTCTGTGGTGTTACCTTAAAATTTGGGTTTTGTACCCCCTTCTGATCCCCAGCTACCTTAACTGCAGACACATGGTCTTGCAAATCATCAACAGCTGTGGGACTAGGATGAGAGAGAGAGAGAGAGAGAGAGATAATGAGAATGAGTGAGCTCCCCATACTGGGCAGCAAGACTCGCAAGAGACTAGAGCACAACCCTGGTGTTGAGACCCTGGTGATTGTGGAGATACTCTGGTGTTGTTTTGGAGAAACTGGCAAAGTGTGACGATAGGAGCCCTGAGATAAAGGCCAGAGTTAAAGGTTTTGCTGTTCTTACTGGATGACGGAAGAAAACGTTGATTGTGAGACTGAAACTGGAGCTTGAACTAATAGAATTGTTCCTTGGGATTGCTGGGCTAAAGGGTGGACTTACATTATGTGATATTCTTTGCCTCCCCACTCTTCAGCTTACTTCTGTAATAAACCACATACCTGTGAATAAAGTCTGTTAGTCAACAACAAATATTGGACTCAATGATTGGTAGAAAGAGGTATAGGAGCATAGGCAGTGTCATGTCTGACCAAGCAGATATCTATTTGATGGGGACAGTTCCCTTTTATGAAACGGTTAGAAGTCGTTATCAGCCACCTTTAAATCCCATCTGCACCCTTTACAGGATCGACAGAAGTGTCACTCTGTAGGAATTACTCATATGCCTGTTGTGTTTACATTTCTACAGGAAGGCACTGAAGCTGAAAAGAAAGCCATCTCTCTTCTTTCTAAATTACGAAATGAACTGCAGACAGATAAACCAATTGTCCCTTTGGTGGAGAAATTCGTTGATACTGATATATGGAATCAGTACTTGGAGGATCAGCAGAGTCTCCTACATGAAAGTGACGGCGAGCTGCGGTGGTTTCACTCCCCCTGGCTGTTTGTGGAATGCTACATGTATCGGAGAATTCACGAGGCGCTGATCCAGAGGTGAGCATATAATCACCGAATAACAGGAAATGTTTAGATGATTTATGCTCAACAGCTTTGTCCTGGAGAGGGTGAAACCAGGCTGCTCCTTGGAGACAAGGATTCTGAAGCTTCGTCTGACATACTTTGGACATGTTGCAAGGAGGGACTGGTCCTTGGAGAGGGACTTCGTGCTTGGGAGGGTGGAGGGACAGTGCAGAAGGGGAAGACCCTCGATGATATGGATTGATTCAGTGACTGGGGAAATGGGGGTAGATGTGTAAGAAACAGTGAGATTGGCACAAGATAGAGCAGGGTTTGGGACAGTTGTACATCGGGTCGCTATGAGTTGCAGGCAACTAAATGGCACATAACAAGAACAACAACAAAACAAAACATCCCACTGCTGTCAGTGATTCCACCTCGTGGTGATGCTCTGTCAAGTTTCCAAGGCTTTAAGTGTATGAGAGACTGCCTACCTCTTTCTCCTGATCAGCAGCTGGTGCATTCAGACCACCAGCCTTTCAGTAGCAGATCAACGTGTGACATAGTGCACCACCACATCTCCTTAAAAGGATGTTGTTGTCTACTGTAGAGTAGGGACCGACCCGTAGCTCACCCTTTTTATCCCTGGGAGGAGATTGCCCATCTTTCTTCAGTGCAGCAACTGGTGGATTTGAACCATGTGCCTTTGGGATTGCAGCACATCTTCTTATCACTAGGTCACCAGAGCGCCCTAAAAGGGTAAGTTTTAAAATAAACATTAGTATACATGAATGATTGGAAGGAGTAGTGGCATCCACTTCATTAATAGCTTGCCTCTGGAAACTATGAACCTGGAGAGGGGATGAAAGGCACCCAAGCGCCGAGGACTCTGCTTCATAGGGTCCTATGAGTAGCCTGCCTGCGACTCCACAGCACTTAACAACATGCATGAATGAAACAATGTATACAGACTACTCTATGAAGGCAGTTAAAAAAAAAAGATACCAGTAGAAGCCTGAATTCAGTTCAATGTTAATGACATTTCAGCCCCTGTTAGAGGTGTCATAAGTTCTTGCTTGTGTAAAGAGCACAGTTCTGGTTGCAACCCATGGGTTCATCCTGAGTCAGAAGTGACTTGATGACCACAAGTTTTTGTTTTGGTTTTCTTTTACCTCAAAAAACTGTACAGTTGACTGAAGTATAAACTCACAATTACAGTGAAGGCTTAATAGCTGCATTTTCTTGTAGAGTAATTCTTGAGTAAAAAGTGCTCCTATCATTTCTGTGTATGAAAGCCCAAGATGGAGTAAATGAGCATGTTTTGTTTATCAGAGTAGCTAAATCAGTGAATTTGGTATGAGAAATCAAAACGGCGAACCACTGTATTGACTAGCCCTGTTTATTTTTAAAATGGCCAAGTTAGGAAAAGAAGGCTTGGTGGCCTAGTGGTTAAGAACTTGGCACCTAACCCAAAGGTTTTTGGTTTGCACCAGCCAGTCACTCTGCAGGAAGTTGAGGTGACATCTGCTTCCAGAAGGTTACAGCCTTGGAAACCCCATGGAACAGTTCCCGTTGGTCCTGGAGGGTCACCGTGACTTGACAGCCACAGTAGATCAGAAAAGGACTCCTAAAACTAAACATGGATTCCAAAAGAATTTTTTATGGGTTTATTTATACTAATTTACTTTTTTCCTAAAGAAAGTCAGAGTCAAGATCTGTTGTTCATAGAGTTGATGTGAGTAGTAGTCGAATTTGTTGGCAGCTGACAACAACATCACAACAATTCCTAAACTGAGAGAAAATAAATTTGTTTGTTAGAGTCACTTGTTTGGATTTCTTTGGTGTAGGATGTTGGCTGTTGCTCTCATAGTACCTAAATTAATAGGTTGCTCTACTCTAGTACCTAAACTGTGTGTAAGTGTCTATTTTGGAATTGGGTAGTGGGTAGAGGATGGAAGAGTTTGGTTATGGATGTTTAAAGGAGTTCTAATGAGGGCTCAGAAGAAATGAGACCAGTAATAACCAGAGAAGCAGCAGCGGAGAAATGGAGGCAGCAGAACCAGAGGACAGGCATGCGACAGCCGAGTGCTGACCCGCGGAACAAGAGAGCGGAGTCCCTTTGGGCAGGAGACTTCCTGGTAGCATGTGGTCCCCCTGGGCACTTGTCAACAGAGCTAGGTCAGCAGAGGCTTACTGGCAGTGTGGGGTGCCTCTGGTTACCCTTGGGTGGAGCTATAGTAATTTGATAGAGGCTTGGGTTTGTTTCCAGCTCCTTGCCATTATAAATAATGCTGTAATAAGCTTGGGTGAGTGTTAGCACTCAGAATTGTTTGGGATATTTGCCCAGCAGTGCAACTGTTGGATCAAATGGTAGTTCTGCTCCTAACTTTGTAAGCAAGCACAAAACCACTTTGCTTAGTGGCTGCTCTGTTTAATGTTCTCACCAGCAATGCGGAGGAAGTCTGGTGCCTTCACATCCTTGCCGGCATTTGTGGTTAGCTGTCCTGTTGAACTGTGCTGCTGCTTTTGGGGGATGATATCTCGTTGCTGTTTTGATTTGCATCTAATAGCTAATGATCTTGAGTATTTCTTCGTGTGTGTGTTGACCATCTGAGCCTTTTTAGGTCCTCTATCTTTTTTGCCTGCCTGTTGTTACATATCGTAGAGTCAGAACCGTCCCAGAAGCCAACCCTCCAGCGGCTTTTCAGAGGCAGTCAGTTGTGTGGGAGTGGATTGCCCATCTTTCTCCCACGGAGCAGCTGGTGGATTTGAACTGTGTATCTTTGCAATGATACGAACTGGGAAAAAGACTGTGGCATCAAGATTGGAAGAGAACTCCTCCTTAACCTGCATTATGCAGATGACACAACCTTGCTTGCCAGAACTGAGGTGGGCCTGAGGTGCTTATGGCAGAAAATCAAGGACTGCAGCCTTCAATATGGGTTACATCTCAACAGCAGGAAAACAGAAATCCTTACCACCCGGCCAGCAGGCAGCATCATGATAGATGGAGAAAAGATTAAAGTTGTTAATGATTTTGTCTTGCTTGGATCAACACTCAGCATCCTTGGCACCAGCTGTCAGAAATCAAGGAGAGTTGCATTGGGAAAATTTGCTGTCAGGTACTTTTGCTGAGTACTGAAGAACAATGATGTCATTCTAAAGACTAAGGTGCACCTGATCCAGGCCATGGTCTTCTCAGTTGTTTGTTAAGCATCAGAATGCTGGGCAATTCAGGATGACAGAAGGTTGACAGATGGAGAATTGATGCCTTTGAGCTGTGGTGCTGAAGAAAAGTATAGAACATATCATAGACTTCCAAGAGAACAAACAAGTCTATCCTGGAGATGGTAAAACCAAGATGTTCCTTGGAGGCCTGAGTGTTTTTGAAGCTCCATTTCACACACTTTGGGCATGTTGTCAGGAGGGAGCAGTCCTTGGAAAGGAACATCACGCTTGGCAGAGTAGAGGGTCAGTGCAGGAGAGGAAGACCCTGGATGAGATGGATTGATAAAGTGACTGTGGCAGTAGAGTCAGGTGTGTCAGAGAAGATGAAGTTGGCTTGGGACAAGGCACGGTTCAGAGCAGTTGTTCATTGCTGTTGTTATGTGTCATTGAGTTAAGTATGACCCATAGCAACCCTGAGAACAACAGTTCTAAGCCCTGTCCTGTGCTGTGCCATCCTCACCGTCTCTGACACACTTGAGCCCGTTGCCACAGTCACTGTGTCCATCCACCTGGTTGAGGTCTTCCTCTCCTTCGCCAGCCCTCATCTTTCCAAGCGTGATGCCCCTGCGATGAATAGCCTCTTCTCATAGCAACATGCCTGAAGTGTAAGGTGAAGCTTTATCATCTTTGCTTCGAAGGAGCACTCTGGCTGCTTAAATATGTATTTAAGTTGCTCCAAGATGTATCTGTTTGTTCTTTTAGAAGCCCATGGGACAGTCAGTACTCTACTCCAACACCACAGCTCAGAAGTATCAATTTTTCTTCTGTCATCCTAATTGATTGTCCAGCACTCAGTTGCATCGTGGGAGATCAGAAAGACTGTGGCCTGAATCAGATGCACCTTAGTTCTCAGATTTACATCATTGCTCCTCGATAATTTGGAGAAGTCCCTGACTTCATTCTTCCCCAGTGCAGTGTGTCTCCTGATTTCCTGACTGCTGGTGCCAAGGGTGTTGATTGTGGCTCCAAGCAAGATGTGATCATTGATGACGTGAGTCTTTTCTCTGTCTGTCATAATGTTGCCCATTGGTTCGGTGGTAAGAATTTTTGTTTTCTTGATATTGAGATGCAATCCAATTGTCCATAGGGCAATTGTAGTTGTAGTTGAGTTGTAGTTGAATTGATGGCTTATACAACAACTCGTTTAGCAATTGGGTTGTCTTATTCTTTTGAAAGTATTTTCTATACATTTTAGAGGTAATTCCCTTATCAGATATCATTGCCAAATAGATTTTTTCCCCAGTTCCTACACTTTCCTCAGTCTTCTGGTGTCCATAAGGATTTCATTTTCAGGAGGGCAGACACCTAATTCATCCTCTGCTGGTTGTACAGCTTCTGTTATGCCTGAGAGTCTATTTTTTGCTGTAGATTAGGGCTCTTACGTTGGCTTCAGTTCTTTCTTTGATGATCTTTGTAGGTTTTAGGTCTGGATTCTTGCTACATCTTGTGTTAGTTTTTTAACATGGTGGGAAGAAAGAATCCTGTTTCTTTTTGCAATTAGATATCCAGTTTTGCCAGCACCATTTATTAAACAGGCTGCTT